TTTTTTTTTTTTTTTTTTTTTTTTTTTTTTTTTGAGATGGGGTCTTGCGCTTGAGTCTTGCTCCATCACCCAGCCTGGAGTGTAGTGGTGCGATCTCAGCTGACTTTAACCTCTGCCTCCAGGGTTCAAGCAATTCTCATGCTTCAGCTGCCACGTAGCTGGGATTACAGGCACACACCACCACGTAGAGACAAGGGCTTGCCATCTTGGCCAGGCTGGTCTTGAACTCCTGACCTCAAGTGATCCTCCTGCCTCAGCCTCCCGAAGTGCTGTGATTACAGGCATGAGCCACCATGCCCGGCCTCCATTTTACCAGTTTCTATGTAGTGACTACTGTTCTATCAAATAGGGAGGAAGTGTGTGTGATAAAAGAGCAATTTATCAGGAAATTATTTTAAAGGACAAGTTTATGTTAGAAATAAAGGCATGTATTTAGATGGAGGTTTAAAGGGGAGAACAATGCATTCTCAGCTTCCTTTTTTGTGGTTTTATATTTTAAATTTGTTATCCAGCAAAGCTGCACAGCAGCAGACTCTGGGCAGGCACCTCCTCTCAGTGGAGGCCAGCCCGGGGCTGCCCACAGGGTAGACTCGGAGTGACCGCGCTGGCACGGAAATTAGAGAAGAGCTGGCCCAACCACTCCAGGTGAGAAAACTGAGTTCAGGAAACAGAGCCCATTCAGTGGCTGATCTCACGGGCCCTTTGCCCTTCCCATCAGCCAATCATTCTACAAACCTGACTTATATTGCATTCCACGAGATTGCAACTCCCCGGTGAGTGAGCTTTATGAAACTTTTCAGGGCTGAATTTTATCTCCTTCGAGTCAGATTGTTATAGACAATTTATGCTCCAGAGAGCATAAATTTAGAAAACAAAAACATCTTCTCAGACAAAAGAAATGTGGCTGCTGTGGGATGTTTATCCTCCACCCTTCTGGCTAGAGTCTGGGAGAGTTACAACTCTGGATTACAACTTCAGAGTCTTAGGGACAAGTCTGTCCCTAAGACACACAGCGATTGAGTCCTTCAGCATCTAGTGCTGATTGAGTTACTGCTGATCCTGGTCACCGACAAAGGACCCGGGCAAGCAAATGTACAACTGACTAGAACATGCAGAAGAACAAGCACAGGAGGGGACTGTGCTCCAAAGCAAAAATCACCCTAGACTTCCCGGGGCGGAGGAGACGGGCCTTCCAGTATATTCCAGTGAGTTTCGAATAATGAAGGACCATTGCTTTCCATGGCATTACAGAAGTGGTGTTTTGTCACATAAGTCAATATCAAAATATATTTTGACTTGTCAATACAGAAATATGGCAATGTATTCATTCTAATGAAAAGATGATGGTGTTTTAATAGCTACTGCAATGATATGGAAAAAAAAGGCCACATAAACCACCTATATATTTCCTTCTGTTTGTTTGAGACAGGGTCTGGCCCCGTTGCCCAGGCTGGAGTGCAGTGGCACAATCACAGCTCACTGCAGCCTCCACCTCCCAGGCTCAAGTGATCCTCCCGCCTCAGTTTTTGAGTAGCTGGTACTATAGTCAGGCGTCACTATGCCTGGCTAAATATTGTATTTTTTTTGGTAGAGACAGAGTCTCACTATGTTGTCCAGGCTGGCCTCAAAGCGATCTGCCTGCCT